TGTTCGCCTGGTGGACGGTCCAAACAGATGCTCTGGAAGAGTCGAGGTGCTTCACAATGATGTCTGGGGGACTGTTTGTGATGAAGGTTGGGATTTACGGGAGGCCAGGGTGGTGTGCAGGCAGCTGGGCTGTGGGACAGCATTATCATCCCCCAAGAAGTCAAAATATGGAGAAGGGAAGGGCCAGATCTGGCTGAGTGATTTGGACTGCAAAGGGACAGAAGGGTCCCTCTCCAAATGCAAGTCAAAGGCATGGGGAGAGAACGTCTGCAACCACGTGGAAGATGCCAGTGTGGAGTGCTCAGGTAACCTCCAGAACTCTTCTACTTTGCATCCATTGTGTCTGTAGAAAGCTGTAGGGCAATTTCTGAGCCATTCAGTTAGGAGGTTACAGATTCAGAGTGACTTTGTTGAGCTCTATCACCTTGAGCCAGAGAAGCTGTATCACATGCCCTACAGAGCTGGGATTGCAGACATTTGGTCTTCTCCCTCTTCTGGCAACCTTCATCCTGGTTTTATTTCTCCACAAACCTTTCTTCTTAGCCAGAAGGTAGGAGGAAAGCCTTTGTCAAGTGTTAGGAATGAGCAGAGAGTTTTGATACACTGTAGGAGATTCTGCTTTCTCCGGGTGGTCAGGAGCACAGAGACTTTTCCAAAACTTCTCCCTGGCTTGTTTTGTTGCTTTTTTGTTTGTTTTGTTTTGTTTTTGTTGTTGTTTGATTATTTATTCAATTACCTATTTATTCCATTTTTAGAAACAGAAATACCTGAGCCAGGGCCACTTCGTCTGGTGGGAGGCCCAAACCGATGTGCTGGAAGAGTTGAGGTTCTTCATGAAGAGCAGTGGGGCAGCGTGTGCCATGATGAATGGGATATCAGTGATGCTCAAGTTGTGTGCAAGCAGCTGGGTTGTGGGGATGCAGTGCTGGCCCCAATTGCAGCAAAGTTTGGGCGAGGAACTGACACCATCTGGCTGGATGATGTGAACTGCACAGGGTTGGAAGCATCTCTCTCTGAATGCCAGGCAAGGCCGTGGGGGGACCACAATTGTTACCACGGGGAAGATGCCAGTGCAATTTGTTCAGGTAATCTTTTGCATTCTCCATTTGCTAGCAATGTGTTGGGATGTCTTTCATATGAATGTGGGTACAATCTTAGACAGGAACAAGGGCTTACTACATAGTACTCCCCAACTGCTGCTGCTGTTGGTTTGGGATCCTTGCACCATAGAAGAGTGTTTCAATTTGGTAGGCTGTCTCCTCACTGTGGTGCTCTCTGTCATTTTTCTCCAGCTCAAGCTAGAGGTTAAGGTGATCCATAAGCATGGGAGGGAGATGATATGCAGCAGGGGCATAAACGTGCACATGCATAACCTTCTGCCTTCCTGAGCATGCCCTCTCTGGATTTGCCCACAGATTCAGGGATCACCATCTCCACTTCAGTTCGCCTGGTGGGAGGCCCAAACCGCTGCTCTGGGAGAGTTGAGGTGCTTCACAACAATGTCTGGGGGACCGTGTGTGATGACAACTGGGATTTACGGGAGGCAAAAGTGGTGTGCAAACAGCTGGGCTGTGGGACAGCCCTATCAGCCCTGCCGGAGTCAAAATACGGAGAAGGAAAAGGCCAAATCTGGCTGAGTGATGTGAACTGCACAGGGACAGAAGGATCTCTCACTGAGTGTGAAGCAAAGCCATGGGGAGAGAATGTCTGCAATCATGTGGAAGATGCCAGTGTGGAGTGCTCAGGTAACCATCTCTGACCCCAACACTGCATGTGCTGAGCAGTGGGCTGGGCAGATCCCACCACACATCAGCTTGAAACAGGGTTCATCCCGAGCCCCTGTAGAAAGGGCAGTAGAGATCTGTGTATATCTGCTGGTGGAAATAGAGACATGGCTGATGAACTCATCCCGTCACTGACAGCCAGCCCTGTGATGCAGTGGTGACACATGGGTGTGGCATGAAATCTTCTCCTACCTGAGGCCACTGTGGTCCCTTGTCCCACCTCTGTCCCGAAAGCTTAACAGTCTCCTTGAGTCAGTAGAGCCTGCAGCCATTCATGAATACCAGGAAAACCTCTTTCTGCCTTTTCTCCACAGTGCTTTTCTGGGTTTTCTGCTATTTTATTCCCACACCAGAAAAGCACAGGTACTCTTAGAAGAAATCCCTTGGCATATCTCCATTGTGTTCGAACGCCTCTGCATGCTGTCCACAGGCAGTGAGGGATGCTCCCTTAACCTTTATTTTCTCGGCATTTGTGCAGAGACAGATATTTCTGAGATTGGACCAGTTCGGCTCGTGGATGGCCCAAACAAATGTGCTGGAAGAGTTGAGGTTTTACACGAGAATCGTTGGGGTAGTGTGTGTGATGACCACTGGGACATGAAGGACGCCAAGGTGATTTGCAAGCAGGTGGGCTGTGGGTCACCACTCTCAGCCTTGGGAGGTGCTCGCTATGGCCGAGGGCCAGATGTCATCTGGCTGGATGATGTGAATTGCGAAGGGACAGAAGAAAGCATCTCTGACTGTAAGGCAAGGCCGTGGGGTGAACACGACTGCTATCACGGAGAGGACGCTTCTGTTTTCTGCACAGGTAGTTATCCATCCCTCTGACACCTGAACTGATGTGGGGACAGAGAGAAATAGTTCTGGCAGATACAGCAGGCTGGAGTGTGGAGGACAAAAGGAGAATCCCGAGGGAATCGTGGCAAGGTTCTCCTTCTCAGGATTGTGCCTTTGGAGTACAGCAGGGAGCCATAAAGGATAGGAAACATCTGGATAAGATGGATGTAGTGGACCAGCTGGCAACAGCAGAGCACAAAGACAACTGACCATGGGATAAGTCACAGGATCACAGACCACTGTTAAGATAGGTTCCCTATATCAAGTTGCACAGGAAAACATTCAGGCAGGTTTTGAACATCTCAGAGTCAAAGGAGACTCCAGAACTGGACACAGTGCTCCAGATGTGGAGCACCAGATTTTTCTAATGCACCCCAGGATACCACTGGCCTTCTTGGCTGCAAGGGCACATTGCTGACTCATGGCCAACCTTTTGGCCATCAGGACAACCAGGTCCTTCTCCACGGAGCTCCTTTCCAGCAGATCATCCCCTAATCCGTATTGTTATTCTTCACCCCACCTCCTAGAGTTCAGGACTCCACACTTGTCCTTATCAGTGCTCATAATATTCCTTTCTATCCAATATTTCAGCCTTTCCAGATGTCACTGAGTGACACACAGTCATTCATCTGGTGTGTCAGCCACTCCTCCCAGCAAGGGAAGGCAGAACAGTTTCTGGGATAGGAGGCAATGACAAGCATCTCTGGAAAGTAGGAGAAAAACAGCTGGAACTTTGTTTGGGAAGAGAAACCTCCTTGTATCATCCATACTCAAGAAATATTTAAGTTGAATGCTCCAAAGCCTCTGTGACTCTAACTCCTTACTTTTAATGTTCTTTCTCTTAGGAGAGAATCTTGGACAGGCCCTACATGGGTGAAAGAAGGAGCCCTTCATGGTCTTCAGCTAGTTGTTGGGCTTTAGGCGTTTATCAGACCCACACTGTGTGTCAGAACCACATGGTTCCCTGGATCAAGCAGTGTGTTGAGCACTGGGTTGAGAGTCTGGTCTTCATGCAGCCACATTCTGGCTCCTATAGAAACTTGTCCAAAGCTCTAGCATCCAGTTTCTTTGCCAATATCCACATGTACATGGATATAATCTAAACTGTAGATCTTCTTGTAGAGCAATGTCTGTATCATTTTTGCCTGCAATTCTGGTGCAGAAGAATTCCTGAGAGGAGACTTCACTTACCCCATCCCCTTTCTTTGCAGTTAACAAGAATCTGGAGGAGACAGAAACATCGTGAATGCCACACTGTCCCCATCAGACTGTGCTCATCTTGTCACGTGAGGTGGGCCAGCAAAGTTCAGTGGAGAAGAATGGCAGAGATGTTACAGAAACTTTCATCTGCCACAATGGAACTCAGGGAATGACAAAACCATTCCCTCACCCTTGAATGATCAGCAAGCTCAGTTGCAACTCCACCAATGGAAAAGATGGCATTCCCACAAAAAGCAAATATCACAAAGTATCAATAAACTTCCCCTAAATCTGATGTTCTGTCTCACATATTGCTTATGGACCTCAGGTGACTGAGCACATATCTGGCAAGAATATTTCTCCAACATCATCAATACCAAGGTCGTGGAAGTATCTATGCTGAGAAACATTTACTTCTGGTGAGATTCAGTCCTGTAAGGAGGCCATCCATAAAATCATTGGAAAGGGTATTACACAGGGCAAGCTTAGTTTATAGATTCTTCTAGAGAATCAACTGCCTCCTTAGGGAAAAATTCACTCCTTTTCCTCTCTCATTCTTTGTACAGGCTGGAGCTGGCCCTTCACAGGTGGACAATTTCCCATTTTGGGGACGTCCAAACAAGACTTGATGCCTAACACAAGTTATTATCATCTTTTTTGTGTAATTTGATGCAATATGCTTCATGCCCATTAGCAAAGAATTAATGTTTTGTCATAGAAAAACGAAGAGCCAGGGTCTTCATTTCAATATTTAGAGTCAGTGCCTCCAAGCCAAATCAAGCCGTTTTTATGGGCAGGTGACATTACAGACTGTACTGGTTTTATCCTGGACAGAGTTCCTATTCTTCATAGTAGCTGTATGGTGATGTGGACTTAGAATGTGAATAATGTTGGTCAACCAGCAGTGTTGTAGTGTCACTGAGTGGTGCTCGTGCAATGCCAAGTCCTTTTCAGCTTCTCAGCAAGGAGCTGGGGGTGCACAGGGAGTGAGAATGGGACAGAACCCAGACAGCTGATCCAAATTAGCCAAAGGGATATCTCACATCATATAGTGTCACACTGAACAGTCAAATGGGCGGGTGGCTGGCTGGTGGGGGGACCACTGCTTGAGGACTGGCTGTTCATCATTAGAGCAGAAACAAGGTGAAGCTCATGGCGATATGACCATGACACAGAGCATCAGACAGACTCACAGGAGCAAGACAGAAATTTCATTTATCTACAGAAACATTTTGGGGGATTAAGGTGAAGAACAGCATAGAAATGGCTTAAGGCTTGGAGGGAATGTTGCAGAGGGACAAGAGGCTCAGAGGGAAGGTTGCATGAGGAATTCATGACAACAGCTAAACCTCTTCTGCAGGAGGGCACTGGTTACACAAGAGAACCTCAATATATAACATATCCGTACCATCTGAACAAGAAAGCTTTCATAGACTAGAGGCAATATCATCAGGAGAGGATGAAGTGGCATGGGAACTGTGTGGTCTTTTGGGCAGAGACATCTGACAAGAAATGTTGCAGAGCAAGTGTCCACTTGTGTCCTCCAAATATTCCCTCCATCCCAGAGAGAACATGTCTTGAAATTTAATTTGTGGCAGGCAGTAACTTAATTTACAGTCAGTAGAGTGAGAGAAACTTCTGAAATCGGCCTGAAGTTGCTCTGTGTGACTGCCCATATCTCTTTATTAGCTGAAGGGGACCATCAATGCTCCTGATTTGGGCACATCTGCTTGGTGCTTACAATTCAGTGAGATAGATCTGAGTGTCGTGATTGGCTTCTGTACTGGGTGCACTCTGTCCTTCAAAGATGTCTTCTGTTTGCGTTGAAAAAATGTCATACACGTTTGCCAGCACTGTCATCTCTCTTCTCCACTCCAGAGCATCTGCAGTGTTTAGATTCCACCTGGAAAGAAATACATACAATCCAGACCTGTAAAACTAGCTTGCTTTACCCTGCAAGGCCACTTAAAGTTAGTAGTATGCATATAATTACGTTAAAGAATCACTGAATCATCAAATCTTAGAATCCGAGAATGGCTTGGCTTGGAAGGCTCCTGAAAGATCATAGAATCATAGGATGGCATGAGTTGGAAGGGACTATGAAGATCATCAGATCCATCATAGAGAAATAGGACTGTGGAATCATAGAATCATAGAATGGCTTGTGCTGGAAGGGACCCATTGAGTTCCAGCCCTCTTCTATGGGCAGGGTTACTGCCCATCAGATCAGATTGCCCTGTGCACCATCCAACCTGGCCTTCAGCATCTCCCACCTGGACACCTACATGTGCAGACTGCTTTAGGGATCCTGCTTTGAAGGGAGGTTGGACTTGGTGATCACTAGGGAACCCTTTCAATCCCTATAATACTGTGGTTCTGTGATTCTGTAATCCCCAGGGATGGGGCATTCACAGATTCTTTGGGCAATACAAGAATGTAACAATAGCGATAGTGATAGTTCAAAAGCACAAAAAGCAAAAATAAGTAGCGATGTGGAGAGATGGGAATCATCCCTCAAAACGCCAAGATCCAACTTCACGTCTCCATCATCGTCCCATGGCAACATCTCTGAGAAAGAGATGTGAATGAACAAACTACTGCAGGGCAGATTTAGACTGGATATTAGAAAACAGCTTTTTATGATGAAGGCAGAGAAGCACAGTCACTGATAGCTCAGAGGTGGTGGATGCCCCGTCCTTGGAGACATTTGAAGGTTGCACCATAATCTGAGCAACTTCATCTAGCTCACCAGTTCTGTTTGTTGCAGGGGAGTTGGACTAGGTGAACATTAAGAATCCATCCCAACTCAAACTATTCTGTGATTCTATGATTGTGAAAGAATGAAGAGCCACCAAATCCCAAACCCAGATGAGAGGCTGAGTTGCTACAAATGCCCTGCATGGTGGGGCATGCATGAAGCTTACCAGAGCAGACGACGCCTGCATCTTCTTCATGGTTGCAGTTATGGACTCCCCAAGGCCTTGCTGCACATTCGGAGAGCGCTGATTCCCTGCTGGAGCATTTCACATCATCCAGCCAGATACGGCCAAAGCCTTGCCCAAAATAAGCGGATCCGGGGGCTGACATGGCTGTCCCGCAGCCCAGCTGCTGGCACACAACCGCAGCATCGCTCAGGTCCCAGTTGTCATCGCACACTGTTCCCCACTGCTGGCCGTGAAGCACCTCAACTCTCCCAGCACAACGACAAGGGCCGTTCACCAGCCGGAGAGGAGCTGCTTCTGCACTGCCTGCACATAAAGCAAGATACAATGAGAAATGCACACATAATGCCCTGCAGCTGAACCCTGAACCTGCTGAGAGTAGACACGTAGTAGTGTCCCTGTACCAATCAAGGTGCCCAATGGATGAAGAGGACATTCTGGGAGGGCAAGTCTTCTCCCATAGTCAACCTCATACTTTCCATCATACTCTGGGTTGCTGAAATATCTTGCTTATGACTCAAGATTGCTGTTTTCCCATTCGTTGTCAGCAAGACACATTTGTTACCTGGTGTGCAATGAACCAATCTCACACACACAGATGAGGTGTTGGTTTAGTATGAAGATGGGACTAATCTTCCTTTCTGCTGACTATGCTGGTCATAATGATTAAATACATCTCTACTTTGTACATTTCAATGATGTCCCCATCTTTGAGTACAAGCTGAGTAGCCAAGCTATGATCAGGAGTTTCTTTACTTAATCTCTTTTAGTAGTCTCAAGTGTGGTCAGCTGATCCTAGACAAAAGCCTGGATTTTCTGTATCTAAGGGAGCCCGTGTAAAGACTTGTAGAAAGATTAATTCCTTCTCGGCTTTCAGCACATTGAGGAGGATACTGCTTCATCCCTTCCAAGCAGACACGCTTCCAAGAGTTTACTGAACAACTTTGTGACACTGAACACCATTCTTGCTCCATATAAAGAGCAATCTGCCCTGCCAGGCTCAGGAATAAAAATTTAATGTTGTCTATGGATATTACAGATGTAACCCATGCAAATGGATATATTTGGCAACCTCCAGCTGGTTGCTGTTTCCCATCTGAATCACCTTGGGGAATCTTTGCCATTCTTCAGCTCTCATGTCAGAAGAGTGGAAATCTGATGTAGTTGTCTGCATTCTGTTGGGCAGTTTTTATTATTGTATGCTGTGTATAGCACTGTATCTTGTACTATTTAATCCAGGTTCAGGTACTAGGACCCCTGAAACTCAGCAGGGATGAGATGTTTCTGGGATCATTTTCAACCCTGGAAAAAGTCCAGGAGCCTTCAGAAGCTGAGGTACAGGAGACTCAGCTTGATACAGTTATCAGATGCAGGTCCCATCATGGTAACCCAGATTCTGGTGGTGATTGTGGACCATGATCAGGGCCATGTAGATTGTACAAGAATCACTTTATAGACCACAATGACTGACAGCAGACATTAGGAGCAGCCTGAACTCAGAGAATACCTCCTACTGAGTCTGAAAATCATTTTTCCAGGTTTCCCAACATTTTTGAGACTGAGAAATAGGCAGGAGTTACCTGAGCACACCACACCAGCATCTTCTCCATGATTGCAGTTATGGGATCCCCAGGCCTGGAACTGGCACTGCGAGAGGGCAGCCTCTGTCCCTGCACAACTGACATCATCCAGCCAGATGGGGTCAGAGCCTTGTCCAAAGCGAGCTGAGCCAGGGGCTGATATTGCTGCCCCACAGCCCAGCTGCCTGCACACAACATTGGCTTCTGCTTTATCCCAGCCGTCATCACACACGGTTCCCCACTGTTGGTCATGAAACACCTCGACTCTCCCAGAGCAGAGCGTTGGGCCATTCACGAGCCGGATGGGAGCGGGTTCTGTAATACCTATGAAAAAAAAAAAAAACAAACAACAACCCAAAACATGGTCAGAAACACGAGCTCAAATCCTCAAAACACAACACAAGAAACTCCGGGGACATGGACAACCTGCAGGAACCAAATGATGTTAATCAAAGCCAAACACAGGTTGTTGTACTTTGGTTAGGGCAATCCTAGATATGCATTCAGACTGAGAGAAAAACTCGTTGAGAGAAGGGCTCCAGAGATGGACTTGGGGGTTCTGGTGGGTGAAAAGCTTAACTAGAATCAGCATTAAGTGCTCACAGTCTGGAAGCCAACAGTCCTCTGGGCTGCATCAACCGGGGGTGGTAGTGGGGAGAAAGGGGATTGGCCCTCTCTGCTCTGCTATCCTGAGGCTCCATCTGTAATACTGTGTCCAGGCCTGCTATCCCCAGCACAGGAAACAAGTGGAGATTGGGAGCATTTCCTGGATGACAGGAAGATGCTCATAGGCCTGGAGTACCTCTCCTAAGGAAACAGGCTGAGGGAGTTGGGCTTGTTCAGCTTGGAGAAGAGAAGGTTGAACAGGGATCTTATCAACGCTTGCAAATATCTGATGAGCAGGTTTCAGTGATTGGGACCAGGCTTTTTTAGGTCATGTCCAGCAACAGGAAAAGGGGCAGTGGGCACAGACTGGAAGTCAGGCAGTTCCGTCTGAACATGTGACAGAACTTCTCAACGATGAGCATGACATAGCCCTGAAACAAGCTGCTTAGCAAGGTTGTGAAGTCTCTGGAGATAATAAAAACCTTCCTGGATACTTTCCTGTGCAATTCACTGTTGGAAAATTCCTCTAACAGGGGGATCTCCAGAGATCCCTTCCAACCTCAGCAGGTCTGTGATTATGTGAATTAACAGTACCTGAGCACACCACACCAGCATCCTCTCCGTGGTTACAGTTGTGCTCTCCCCAAGGCCTGACTCGGCACTCAGCAAGGGCAGTTTCAGATCCTGCACAGTTCACGTCATCCAACCAAATTTGTCCAGTTCCTTGTCCAAAACGAGCAGAGCCAGGGGCTGACATTGCTGCCCCACAGCCCAGCTGCCTGCACACCACTTGAGCATCTGTTAAATCCCAGCTGTCATCACACACGCTTCCCCATTGCTGCTCATGAAACACCTCAACTCTCCCAGAGCAGAAATCTGAACCGTTGACCAGCCGGATGGGAGCTGGTTCTGGAACACCTGAAACACAATGGAAAAGCAAGGTAAGTTATTTTGGCAAAGACATTCCTTCCAGGCACATCAGGAAACATTGTGTGCACTAGTTGATTTAGTATGACACCCAGGGACAAGCATCGAGAAGATTCGGTGCTATCGGATTTCCTCACACATGACCCAAAGGTCAGGAAGTAGTGCTGGCCCAAACTGACGAAAATAAATGTCCTGTTGCTTCTCACTCCCAAATATGAGAGGATTGAAGCCTCCTTCTCTCTGCCTTTGACCAGGAAGACAGCAGTGCCCAGGCAGCAAGTCACAGAATCACACAGAATCACAGAATCACAGAATTGTAGGGGTTGGAAGGGACCTCCAGAGATCATCAGTTCCTTTACACATAACATCATCAAGCCAAATGGGGTCAGATCCTCTGCCAAAATAAGCTGAGGAAGCAGCAGATAGGGCTGTCCCACAGCCCAGCTGACGGCACACAACTTCAGCATCAATTAGATCCCAGTTGTCATCACAGACCGTTCCCCATTTGTGGCCATAAAGCACCTCCACTCTCCCAGAGCAGTGATTTGTACCATTCACTAATCGCAGCTGAACAGCTTCACTATTTCCTGCATTAAAAAGTAACAAACAACAAGAAAAAAATCAATCAACCACCACCACCAAAAACAGGATCAGGGTTTGCACAAGAAAAGAGCATGTAGGGAATGAAGGAAAGAAAAATTCTCCGCTATTATTGTTCAGAACTAGAAAACATGATGAGGAACACATTCTGAATTTTTCTCTGTGACCTCAGACTTCCCAGTGAGAGAGATTAACAGATTGGGTTTGAAATTCTTTCCAAAGCAGGAGCAAAATCCACACTGTAATATTACACCAAGGGTGGCAACTGACAGCAGAACAAGTCACCCATACATCTTACACACTTGCTGGTGGATGCTGAAATTCTATGACATCTGCTCTGAAAGTAACACCTCCTATTTTCTGACGTTGATCCACAACAACAGAGACTGATGGTGGTGGTATTGAAGTAAAGGTTGAACATTCTCACCAATATTACATTGTATTTTGTTGCTTTATGAGTGCAGGTCAGTCTGACAAAAAGGCATTAGTCATGAAAATGCGTATGAAGCAAAGGGGAGCATTTGAATTCTTCCATGTGGAAACAATTGCACCCACTGACATTCATCATTGCTGAAAGTTTATGGAGAACAGTGATGTCAGCACGTTGAATTCTATGATCCCACCTTGGCAGTGGAATGGGAGAAAGACTTGGGGAAGATGTGCCTGGGGAGGTGGCAGGTCAGCAGGCGAGGTGAGGGGTAGCTGAGGGCTGCCTCCAGACCCAGGCAGGTTGAGAACCAAGGCATGCGGTCAGAATTGAGGACAGTTTGGTTCCAGCTGGGGTGGCCTTGGCTGCGAATGAGGCTCAGGATCTCAGTCATCCACACGGTGCCTACCAGGTACAACAGAAATACAGAGCAAGGGATTTGCCCAGGGCTTCAGGATGCTTGGACCTCAGCAACAATGTCACCATCAAGTCTGTTCACCTTGAAGAAACTGCCTCCTGCCCATGCACAACCACTGTGCTATAAATACATACGTACATGTATCTCTCACCCAAAGCATTCCTGTTCCCATCAAAAGAACAGATTCACCTTCTGAACAACAGCTGAACTCTCCCACAACCCCACAGACCTTCTGCCATAGACCTGCCCACAAAACCTATCCAGAACAACTCTCCCAGACTCTCTGTCCTCCCTTGGACATCCCCGTGGTACCAGATTTAGGGTAGGTGATGTTGAAGACGTCGTCGTCCCGCACCAGGAACTCGTTGTGGGCAAAACTCAAGCTGTGCTCAGAGTTGTAGGCTGGAGGGAATTTAATGCCTTTGTACGTCACGTAGTGCACCGGCATCGTGCTGGGATGGGAATTGGGTGCTGCAGCTCTGCAGGCCTGTAACAGGGAGAGAAAGGGATAGAGCACTGAACTCCAGATAGGAAATGTCTTCCCGCATAACCAGTCCCACAGAGGAGCAATTCCATCTCCCAGTCATCAGAAGAGCTCTGTGTTACATGAGAACACACTCAGATACTCTCCAATCCTTCCTTATGGGGACCCAAAGGAACGACTACATAAGGCATTTCAGGAGCCCTCAGGCTAAATCTCTGCTAAGGGGTCAACTTCAACTCCCCCTCCCTTGCTGCCTCATGTGTTTACCTGCCCTCACAGCTGGGATGGGTGCATAGCAGCTTTCTTAGTAAGAGCCTGGACAACCAGGGAGACAAGAGGCAGTTGGAAACACCAAGCTCTGGTTTTCTACACAAAATACAGCTTTGCTCTTCTTCCAGAAGCTGAGAGAGAATCAAAAGGGGAGGGAAATGGTTTCCTTGTTGCACCATTCTGGAGCAATGATTAACGAGATCCAAAGTCCAACAGCCACCCCTTTCCTGTAAATCAGTGAGCAGAGCTGGTCCTGTGTGTTCTCTGCCCCAAATCCACTGCAAGGCCACACTTTTCTTCTGTGCCCTTATGTTTTCCCATAGAACTCTCCATTTTCCTTCAAAAATATAAAAACAAACCATGAATGGCTTCCTCCTGCAGCATCTGCATTTCTTACCATTTATATATCCCACAGCTGCTCAGAAAAGCCCACAAGCACTTGAGACTCCCTATTCTCATGAGCTGAAGGTCCTTTCTCTTTTGTCAAATGAGAAGCCTTTGGAACAGCATCAAAGGGAGAGGAAGAGAAGAAATTCTTCCCCCAGTGAGCAATTTATGTTCTCTGCAGACCATTAAACAGACAGTGCTGTTTAATGCTATTAATTAGAAGCAAGCAAAGTGCCATGTGACTGCCTTTAAATTAAATTAAAAGTATTTTCTAAATGGAAGGGATACAGTGAGTCTTTCCTTGAAAAAAAAATACTTTGACAATTTTGTGTAACACAGTGCACTGATTAAGTAGATCAAAAAGTAATTAAAACAGATAATGCATATCTAAAATGTTTGAGTAGTTTTGCTTTCGATGCAAACGGGGGAAAATGCGATTAAGAAATTTACAATCACTTCAAAGAGGAATGTTAACCAACCACAGGTACAGTAGGAGTAATAAATTCACTTAACCCCTTTGTTGCTTAGAGTTGAGACACGAGTTCAACTAAACTAAAAGCTACAAGGAAAGCCACAAATCATTTCAAAGAACTGTTTTTCCCTTGCAGTCCAAGGGAGACTCCACATCTTCACCTGAAGGTCTGGCTGTCCTTTTATAATTGATGGCTAATTAACAACTGTAGGCTTGCCTACTTCCAAAGAGAAACTATGCTAGTCTCAATGATCATTAAAAAAATTGGGCAATTAGTATGCTTGTAAGAATATTCATAGAATCATAGAATGGCCTGGGTTGAAAAGGACTGCAATGATCATCCAGTTCCTCAGTGGAGGGCCTCAGTGTCCTTGTAGTGGGGGGCCCAAAACTGAACACAGTACTCAAGAGTGGCCTCACCAGGGCTGAGTACAGAGGGATGATCACTTCCCTGCTCCTGCTGGAAACATTATTCCTGAGGCAAGCCAGGATGCCATTGGTCTTTTTGGCCACCTTGGCACACTGCAGGCTCATTTCAGCTAAGTGTTGACCAACACCCCCAGGCCCATTGCTTCCACATAGTCTTATAGCCACTCGGCCCCAGTCCTGCCTGTGGTTGCTGTGGCCAAAGTGTAGGACCTGGCACTTGGTCTTGTTGAATGTCGTCCCACTGGCCACAGCCCAGCTATGCAACCTGACCAGGTACCTCTGTAGGGCTTCCTATCCCCAGGCAGATCGACACTTCCTTCCACCTGGGTGTCATCTGTAAAATTACCAAGGGTGCACTCATGGCAACATGGTGTCATCTGCAAGCTTACTAAGGGTGCACCCAGTGCCCTCATCCAGGGCATCAATAAAGACACTGAGCAAGACAGGCCCCAGTACTGACCCCTGAGTTATGCTTTGCGTATTGACAAACTCCACACAAAGAGCCAGGTCAACCTTGGAATCACCTACAAACAGTCAAGCTCACATTTTTTTCTTGTGCTGGGGAGACTGACATTTTGTATTTGCAAAGACATACATGAGTTTGGTGACTATGCATGTTACTGGTTTATCCTAAATCTTGACACTTTGGCATGTGGGTGACTATAAACCAAATACATCCTTTCTTACCCATGTACATGCTGCTGGATGTGTTTGAGATGCAGGAGGCAGCTCAAACTGCTTTCGAAACTTACAAAAAGAAACTTTTTGCAATCTGCTCAGTTCCTTGTTTAGCAGTGCCTTTGCCTTCACCTGAAAATAAGAATTGGAAACAGGGCATTGCAGCAAGTTTCCAGTTTCCCATACGGAACAGGAGCCTCTGCTGAAATATCATTTCTCATGGAGATGCATCTAAAATGGAGATCCACTGCTCATGTATTCCTGCAACAGCTGCTACTGCAGAAAAGTAACGCATTAAGCAGCTGAATTGTCCCAGTTAGTTTGCCAGCTGTTTCTCCAAACCTTAAGTGGTTTGTGTTCAAGACAAACCTGTCAGGAATCAGAACCCTATTTCAGATATGTCTGGAGTCAGATGGGTTGTTGAAAGAAGCTGTAGCCACAGGATGGCACCATCAGCCCAATAAGGGACATGGGATGCACGGGATGTGTCCTGCTGTCTTGCTGTAACTCAGAGATTCGGGAACTGTGGCACCAGCCCCACAACCCCTGGCCAAGGGGGTTTGGGGCTCTTTGTGGAAGAGAAAAAGGGGTCAGACTCAATCTAGGACCAAACATCTTCCCAGGAAAGGAGTATAAGGAGCAGTGTTTGCTTCTAAATCCCTCCACTCTGATTCTTGTAAGTCATTTTCTTGTTTTTGCCCCAAATTCTTTTTTATTTTTTTGCCTAAATTATCCAAGCCATGCAGCAGACTCACAGCTTGCAGAGATGAGGGATGCAACATTGCACAGAATTCCAAAGAAAACACAGAGTGGCCATGCTGCCCTGATGCACGTTAATGCACGACCAACCTGCTCATGACACAGACAGGCAGGTCCAACCTGCAGCCCAGCACAACACACTTTGGGGCCACCCCCAGCCCCACACCATCATGGCAGTGGATCTTTCCCACCCCGGGCACCCATCACTCAGCACCAACCTAACAGTGCTGTGCTATTAAGGCTGTCAAGGTTGAAACCAGGGCACAGGGAGGTTCTGGCAAAAGAATTTGAAAACGGGTTTCAAGATTGCCAAAAAAGAATCATCAATATTTGGTACATTTGCAACTCCATTTTCAGTTGATATAAATACATCACAGGAGTATTTCCTAATGGATTGTGCAGAGCTGAAATCAGCATTCGACTCAAAAATATGATCACATCTTCTTACCAGATTGATCAGTCATGAGAGAAATATCCCCTGATTCACTGTAATGCTTTATTTGTGCCACCACTTTTGGCAGCATGCACATTTGTGAGAAACTACTGTCAAGGATGAAGGAGAGTAACATTCCACCAAAAATCTCTGATGAACACCTTGAGAATTCATTGAGAATGCATACTGCTTCTATTGAACCAGACTGATTGTGTCACAGATACAAGGTCAAATATCCCACTGGTTTCATGTCTTGTTTTTTTTTTACTGTTTTAATGAAAAAAAACTAGAAATTAAAATAAGTTTTGCTACTTATATATTTTAACTGTATTCTATATTTCATGAGAAGTACTCCAAAAGTAATGCCTCCTGTTTTAGTGTGTTGGCCCACGATGTCAAAAGCAGATGTTGGTGGGATGGCAGTAGAGGTTGAACTTTCCCACCAATATTCCGCTAAATGTTGTTGCTGTGTGACAGATGGCAGCAGAAGGGGAGTCCAACGGAATGGCATCTGACATGCAAAGGAGTGAAATTCAATTCCCCCATGAAAAAAAAAAAAAAGACACTCATTGACATTCATCAACACTCAACAAACGTTTATGGAGAACAATTGGTGGATGTGAGCACAGAGGGGTGGTGGTGGTGTCTTTCAGCAGTGATGACAGTGACAGTGATCACATCCACTTGTGCAGATTTTTATGAGCACAGCATGCAGGCTCTTGTTGATCATTGGTGAAAATGCATAGCTAATGGTGGTGGCTATCTTGAAAAATAGCCACTTTTAGCTGAGAATTTGCCCTACCAAACAGTGTTGTTATGCACTTTGTATCAGTTGTCATTTCCACGGAAATATATAGGGAGCAGTACTTTGAGAGCAGCCTTTGTTTATGAGGTCCAGTACAATTCCTCTTCACCCAACATGGCCCAGGCAAGTTAAAAGGTTGGACACGTTCATGTAAAGCACACATCCCCTGTGCAACACCCCAACTGCACACCTCAACCTGCACAACTGTGCAATTCTTGCACTGATTTTCTGCTCTTCAACCTCTCTGAAATGTTTTGGATTCATCCTTTCCTCAAAACTTCAGGAGTTCCTCCCCATGGTGTTGACTGTATTAAAAAGTAGGGATTTGTAGCTGAGAAGTTGACAAATAGTGCTATTATGACTTTTGTACTAGTGGTCATTTGCAGGTAAATACAGGTAAGAAGCATTACTTTCAGAGCAACTCAGGTACATGCAGCCCAAGACAATTCCTCTTCAGTCAGTGTGGCCCAGGCAAGCCAAAAGTTGGACATGCATGTGTGTGAAGCAAAGCACCTTGAAACAAGCACGCAGCCCCTGTGCAACACCTTACCAGCACAACTGGACATTAGGCTGGACATTAGGAAGTATTACTTTTCAGAAAGGGTGGTCAGACACTGGAATGGATGCCCAGGGAGGTGGTGGAGTCACCGACCCTGGGGGTGTTCAAGGAAAGGCTGGATGCTGTGTTGAGGGACATGGTTTAGTGGGAGCTGTTGGTAAGAGGTGAACGGTTGGACTGGATGAGCTTTTAGGTCGTTCCAACTTTGGTG